GACACTTAGTCTGGTCCGATTTATAGAAAAAAATACTTCTAACGGCAAATAATTATTATTTGGTCCAGCCTAGTTTTTTAACCTATTTCGAGTATGCTGAATCCGAAAAAATATGCTGGCCTTCATGAAAATGGCGTTAAAGAGGTCAAAATGGCGATTCAAAATGGCGGACATCCAATTTTTCTTATTTTCTCTTAATATCGTTCAAAAAGGAGAAATAATGTATGAATATCTCACTGAGTGTAATACAAGTATAAAAATGATAATAGAATGCTAACATTATTAGTTAAACTCAGAAAATTTAGTCTTTTCTACAATTAATTCGAATTTTCTCTGATTTTTTGGTCTATTGTTCTATATTCCGCTTTGTTCAGGATTTTACATTTGCAAATATCCATACACTGCAGATTTGTATTTTTTCCCTCTACATCTCACCATTCTACAACTTAATGATGGTGCAGCTGTAAGTTAAAAGTCAAAATGGCAATTCAAAATGACGGATATTTATCTTTTTTTAAAATTATTTTTAAATTACTTCTTAATGTCGTTTACACAGGAGAAAGGAATTGCGAATAACTTACTGAGCGAAGTACAATTATGTAAAATGCCAACAGAACACTAATTTGATCACTTTAAATCGGAAAATTTAGTCGTTTAAATAAGAATTATGTGTTAATTAGCTCAAAATGGCGATTCAAAATGACGTCTGATACATTCGAATTTCGTAGAAACTGCTTAATATTCTGGTTTGTTTTGCAGAAAATAAATTACAGTTTGTTTTTTATATATATAGTATATATAGTATATTGATAAGTCCATTAGATATGAACAAAAATACTTGAAAAGATTCATTATATTCTGGAAATAGTTAACAACAAACTGGACTTAAGAGTTTCCGAATTTCCCCCTTCGTATTTGACCGTACGTGTTTCAAAGCCTAAAATCACTCCCGAATCCTGTCATTATCAACTTGCACTTCTAAATCAACATCCCTCGGCACACCATCAAATATAACTGAAGAAATTCTTGTCCATTTCATCAAACACTTTGTACTAGCTTTTTAGCACTTATAAGAACTAAGAATTATCCCCTAATATCTTCTATTCCAGCTTTATTTGCTATATGTTTCAGTCTGTCATCGGAATTTTGGTATTTCCAACTCTCAAGTAAATGGTGCGCCGTGTCAAGGATGACAACCCCTTGGCATGTAAAAGATCATTTCTCTGGAGTTCGAAAAAGAGTAAGCTCACTGGGGGCCGCCAGAGAAACCAAAATCCTTTAAAAAAAATTGATTATTTAAACTGATAGTCCGCCGAAACATGGCTGAAAAATTGCCGACTCGGCGTTAAACAATATACAATCAATCACCCAAAACTCAAGGAACAACACATTTATGTTTAAATGTGAAAAGTCTATTTTGTTTTCCAAAACCATATGCAAAATGAACAATAGGTATTGTGAGCATTTAGCTCACTAAATGAAACCCGGTCTTCCATATGAATATAATGACAGTGTCCGTGTTTTGCTATGGAAAATTTCATTCAGTGGTATGAGAGGAGTTGTGGATAAGAAATGGGTACCCCAAAGCGGAACAGACGGTCGAACATACATACACCTGTACCGATTACTCTATACCCTCCCGCTTTTCAAGCGAGGGGTATAAAAAATCTCTGATATTTAAGACATGTAGTTTTTTATTTTGTGACCTCATATAGATTTATTGTCTTTTAGGGTGGAAAGGTCATTCTATTAGCAAGAAAATTCTCAAACTTGATCTGAAATCACATTGTGTGCATATTTTGGTGAGAAAAGTTGTAAAATTATGCAATTTAAGAGCGCCTGCAGATTCCTCGTGATTCCTATCACTTACAAGCTTTCGTAACAATAGGCCTAAGCCATTCCTGATTTCGATCTAGTCAATACTTCTCTTGACAACAAAATTTTCTTGAACACTTCAAAACGTTTACAAGGCATTTTGATCCACACTTCTTTGTTAGGATAGTGTAAGGTTGTATCAAGAATCGTGGGGGGGGGATTGAACACAAACATTTTCTTCTCTCAGATTTTGTAAATTTCACAATTTTTAAATTTATATACACTGTTCAATACAAAATTATCCGTACAAAGCATGAAATATTTGAGAATGTAGTTGAATTTTTGACTGAGAATAACAAAATGCAAATGTAGGGACACAGAATCAGAGCTGGACAATGAAGAAAATTTATGGTTTACGTATATTATACTGATAATTCTTAATATATATATATATGCTTATATTTGGATATTATAAATATATTCAGATTTATATGATGTAACAATTACTAGCCCTATAATTGGTCCTGGTCAATCATTTTCAAAATCATACTAAGTTATGTTGCACTAGACCTTCCACTTGAACATTTATTAAACATTTATTTTTTTCTAAACTGGACTAAGAATAGATCAAGAATTTCCAACATCTGAATGTTCACTCGCCTTAATGCTGGGGGATACTGCTCTTGGGGTAGCTTAATTTTCATATTGTCCCCAAAACAGCAATTATTGTACGATATTATTAACTTTTTATATGAAGAAGCATGGTGAGACAGGTAAAAGGTAAAATGTATTCGGAATTGTCGTCAAAAAGTTATCATCACAATAGAAGTAATTAAACAAAAATCCGTGTTATAAAAATCCTATGTCATAAACAAAAAATATCCTCCAACTCTCATTGCATATTTGAACATGAATAAAAAACAAACTGTAATTTATTTTCTGCAAAACGAACCAGAATTCAGCAGTTTGGATATTTTACGAGATTCAAATGTATAAATTTGACGTCATTTGAATTGCCAATTTGAGCTAATTAACACATTTCAAATTAAACGACTAAATTGTCCGATTTTAAGTGATCAAATAAGTGTTCTATTGTCATTTTACATAGTTGTACTACGCTCAGTAAAATATTCACAAATCCTTTCTCCTATGTAAACGACATTAAGAATTAAATAATTTGAAGAAAAAAATGAATATCCGCCATTTTAAATCGCCATTTTGACTTTTTACTTACAGCTTCGCCATCATACAATTGTAGACTAGTGAGATGTAGAGGGAAAAATACAAATCTGCAGTGTATGGATATTTGCAAATGTAAAATCCTGATCAAAGAAGAATACAGAAACAATAGACCAAAAAACAGAGAAAATTCGAATTAATTGTAGAAACGACTGAATTTTCCGAGTTCAACTAATAATGTTAGCATCCTATTATAATGTTTATAGTTTTATTACACTCAGTTAGATATTCACTCATTACCTATCCATTTTGAAGGACATTAAGGGAAAATTAGAAAAATTGGATGTCCGCCATTTTGAATCGCATTTTGACCTCTTTAACGCCATTTTCATGAAGGCCAGCATATTTTTTCGGATTCAGCATACTCGAAATAGGTTAACAAACTATGCTGGACCAAATAATAATTATTTGCCATTAGAAGTTATTTCTAGCCTTCTTTTTAAAAATCAGGACCAGACTAACTGTCATTTTTCATCGTTTATTTCATTTTTCTCACGCATGCTGTATTGTATTGTAATGTACATAATTTATGTTTGTATTTTCTCTATACTGTTGTGCAGTTTAAGAGAATAAACTATTGAATTGAATTGAATTGAATTGAAGACCTTATATGGCTATTGTTATCTTTTCGCACATAGTCATTGTCCAATCCGGTGACAGAACAACAAAACATGGTGGTTTACTATGTTTACATTTTATCACAGACACGTGGTTGAGGTAAATTTACCTGTTATTACCCTTTTCTACATTAAAAACTTTTATAATGGTCAGCCAAGGTTGTTTATACATAATAATACGCATGGATTTCAGCATTTACGATTTTAGGACAAGAAATGCACTTGGAACTTGTATTCACTGATACTCGGGAATATGTGAAGGCCTAGCGAATTGCTCACCAAACACGCTACAAAACTTTCAACTAATGTATATTTATCAATTGTTTGTATGTGTGTATAAATTCTACTGCGGTCTCGGGACTGTTGATAATATGTAGACTGATGTCTAATCCTTGACTCAAATGCATTAAAAAATATCGGAAAGCAGTAAAATACCAAGCATGTTTCCACAGTATTTTTGTAGTACTCACTCGTATAAAGAATTTCATTTAGCTGATTGGTCAGTTAGAAACTATCGACAATGCCTCGATTAGCATATGAATTTATTCTTACGTCAGAAAATCAAGTTCCGTCGATCTGTTCATAATGGGAAAGGCCAGCTAGATTTTACAATTTCTTTAAAAAAATAGCATGTGAGCGCAGTTAGGTACAATTTTCTCCTTTCACATATAGTTAGATTTCAATGAAATGCAGTGTCCAGCCAAAGGAGAAAATTGTACCTAACTGCGCTCGTATTTTTTAAGGGCCTCAAAGAGTGGGGCGGGGTTAAAATGCAATGGGAATTGGATGTAAACATGATACCCCTACCCAAATAAAAGATCTATATCTTGCAAATCACTTTTCTATTTTTGTTATAAATAGTATTCTATAAAGGTACACATATCAGTGATTTGTTACATGCAACATCTGAGTAGAATTTAGACATTTAATTTTTTGTCAATTTACCAGGGGCCACAAGTCACCTCATCCTTTGACCATTTTTAATTTATATTTTCTTATAAGATTGGTAACTTGCATGTCAACTTAATTAACTTGCATATTGACATAAATATGTTGCATGTCTACATAATTATGTTCCATGTTAACATAATTTACCCTCATTGAGGGGGCAGAAATATGCCATAATAATTATTACACATTTCATAAAATAGGAGCATCCATAAACTGCTTGTCCAAAACAAAAAAGGCGGGTGGCCACAAAATTCACGCTACAAATCCAATTAAGGATTGGATCCACCCATCAAAAACTGATATTGTTTGTGCTGGTGATATGGAGAGAGAAAGGATTTATAAATATTCAAAGAAAGAAAGAAATTGTTTCGGTTTTAGGATGTGAGACGGGATATCAAGGTAAATGTTGCTCCAGGCCTTGTCGATTTCCTAGTTATGGTGATTGCTGCCAGAGTGAATGTAACTGTGAAGAAAGATTTTGTATTCATGCACAGAATGCACAGAAGGTAAGAGAGGAAAGCACCTTATTATTGTCTTAATCATTACGTGATTTCCTTTTCAGCAAATGCATATTTCCTTTTATACGTTTGATATCAGATTTCTAATTGTACAAAATTATCGTTAAAGTACATGTCTTGGAGATATACTTTTCTGTATCTTGTTGTTGTTTTAAAAGAATGTGGATCTGGCTATAATGGAACGAATTGTTCTTCATTCTGTATATATCCTTTTTATGGTGACCAGTGTTTGCAGAAGTGTAACTGCACCAAGGAATCGTGTGATAATGCTCTAGGATGCATAGACGGTAAGTGAGAGAGAGAGAGAGTGTGTGTGTGTGTTTGTGTTAACCAGTGAGTTTGAATGTAATCTATTTAAGCTATTTTAGCCTATGGTGTAGGAGATGCACTTTATAATAAGAACCCTGGACAAGATGACAATTTAATTATGACATTTCTTCTTAAAAATATTAGATAAAATATATTTTACCTGTTAAATTAGTTAAAAAACTGTTTTAAATCTTTAAAATTATAAACAATACATTTAATTTCTTGAATAAGGAATGCCTCTTCAAAGCACGACGATAATTATCGGAGGACTTTCAGTATGTGCGAATTTTCTAATCATTGGGTTTTAAGTTCAGCTTTCATTCCTTGAATTAAAACTCGTCTGACAACATTGAGCTTGTTTTTTGCCAAATAACACAAGACATGTTTGTTCCAAAACAATGTCATTTATTATGAAATGACAACATATAATATAAAACATAAAAGTGAATAAAAAAGACTGGGATACAATGTAACCTTAAAACACAATTCCTGAGAAAATTTATAAAACATAACAATTGGTCTCCCAGTCTATGATTATTACATAACATATATAATTTGGCAAAATAGGTGGCCTCAAAAATATGGCCATAATATACATATAAAACGGAATTAATTACAATTGAAAACATAGACATATGAGTTTAAGGTGGCCTAATGTACAGTTAAAGTCTGCTTGGGGATGGAGGTGGGTAATCCAAAAAAATATTTCAGCAAATGTTTGGCCGTCTTGTCTTTACAATAGCAGTAGATATAATGATGCTACTTCTCTTATCTCAAAAGGATAAAATTACCGGGGGATCCCCACGGGTTAACAGATAATGCGAATTTTCTAATCATTGGGTTTTTCGTCGTTAGGGGACGACCGTTTCATTCTGAGGGGAGGGGGGGGGGGCTGGCAGATTTTGGAAATAAATAATCTTTCCCTGAAAATATTGAAAATAAATAATCTTTCCTCCACTACAGAGAAAATAAATAATCTGACCTTGCCTTATGATATTTCAATATTGTGAAAAATACCCTTTTATTTACGTGTAATTTAATCTCAAAAGTCTTCAATTCAAACAATTTTTTTGGCTCGCTTCCCTCGCCAATTTAGATCCAAATAGTATTTAAAATCAGATTACCAGACTGGATACTTGAGTCATTTTGTCAACCTGACAATGTGCACTTAGTAGATGTGATGAATAACAGTACTTTAAATACAAGCCAATTCTTATACACCACAAAAGATAAATTTTCTTGTCGAAGAATTACACTTCCCCGATAAATTAATACAAAATATAAACTGGTGGATTTAAGTGGGACGTACATGTGTACAACCCCTCCCCTAAAATTTCAAAGTATGATACGAATAATAATAATAATGCCATACTTTGGGACAATACCAATATTTTTGTGCCTAGTTTTACTCTTAAAATACACAAAAACCCAAGAGCTTCAGGGGGCTTTGCCCCCTCGGCACTTTTCATTCAAAGTATGATATGACTAGTATTAATAATGTCATACTTTGGTACATATCTAACCAATTCCTACACAATTTTGACTGGTTTTACTCTTTTACATACAGAAAAACCCATGAGCCTCAAGGGGGCTTCGCCCCCTGAACCCCCTTCATTAAAAGTATGGTATGACCAGTATTAATTATGTCATACTTTGGTTCATAATAACCAATACCACTATAAAAGTGGCTGGTTTTATTCTTAAAATACAACCCAATAGCTTCGGGGGGGAGAGGGGGGGGGTTACTCCCTTGGCCTCCACCAGGGCTTCGCCCAGGACATGGGTGCCTTACGGCGGCCCCAGACCTCTTGCCTCAACAAAGCTATACACGCCCCTCCCCAAATCCTGTATCTGCCTATGGTATATAAATGATTAGTCTTTTAGAATCAATTGATTACGGTACGGAAAGACAAAGAAGAAAATAAATAATCTGTCCTTGATTAATTTGAAAATAAATAATCTGTCCTCGATAGGCATGAAAATAAATAATCCGTCTCAAAAAAAATTGCCAGGCCCCCCCCCTCAGGATCAAATGGTCGTATTTTTTTCAAGAGGTTCTCGGGGAATAGAAGAAATTGTCTTCAGATCGGATCAGAAACTCCGGAATATTCCTGGAATCTTTACAAACCTTACGACAAACAATGCTGTACACAGGATTTCCAAACTACAGATAATGGAATTTACATGTTAGCATATGCAAATAAATATGAAACTATCGATAAGCGAAGTCAACCAACAAAAGAATATTCAAGTAACATGTAGCATGAAGAAAATATTAAAGTATTGATTATCAATTAAAGCTAATCAAGCGTAAGAATTTGTTTCTCAATAAAAAATATGTAATTTAAGGAATGAAGCTTATTTCAACTTATGTTGTATCATTGCTGCGGTGTTTTTCCTTTGAAGTCAAGTGTACAATAACTGGAGATACACCGATGGGCGTATCCAGAAAAAACTGTGCCGTGTATATATAGGCGGAGCCAGCAAAAACTGTGCCGTGTAAATAAATTATTGAACACCAAGGCGATTTCATCATTTTAAATTACATGTATATTGAATCTAAGTTACAGCATGAATGGGCTTTGTAATATACAACTGCAAAAATTCTGCAAGCGAAATAAAAGTCTTTCACATAAATTACAGTGCGTATATATCCCAAACTACGAAATGATTTTACTGAGCTCTTCAAATATTCAATCCAAAGCAACGCGAAATCAAATTCTTGACATGAACTCCACACAGAAATATATTAAACTAGATGTGAAACTCGTTGCGAGCAACGAGAGGTCTTCCGTCCGATTCCGGAAGGAAAACGTTAAATCGAGCAGAAAAATTGAAAAAGATTTGCACACAAGGGGGATTGAACCCAAGTCGCCAGCATGAAACTCCAACGCACTAAATACTACGCCATCGCGACCTCTACTCTAAATCTACTTGTATATATGTACAAAACAGTGCTTCTGTCTTAAAATTATGAAAGGCAGGTCACTTTTCAAAATTTAGCGATAAACGCCACGAGTTAATCTTTGCGCCTTTTCTTTGGAATGTTCTATTAAATAGGTGTTATATCTTCAATGAAGTTAAAAAAAGAACGTTCTTATAGTCTATTCAAGGTTTACAAAGTATATTAACACAGTTTACAAATTCCATATTGTATATATGCATTTAACACTAAAGCGGTGAAACAGTTATGAATTTTTAATTTTTTTCAGTTTCCTTTGTATCCCCAAAGTGAACTATCCCGATTAGTAAGTCGACAAAGGTTGAAATGTTTCGCCAAAAAACATGGCTCCTCCTACAGCGGTCATGGAATCAGATATCATTCTTGATCAATAACTCTGAGACAAGAATGCTAAAATAAACTCCATGAAGCGATCTTTTAAAAAACATCTTATTTTTGTCTTATTTATTAGTTTAATATGACACAAGTGTGCATAGGAAAAACAGTTGTTAAGATTTATACTTAAAATATTAATTGATATTCTTTTTTGAGAAAGCATTACTTATAAGCATGATTAAAGATCTGTTTTTCCATGGTGCACAAAAGATATTAGGTGTATAATTTCCTTTGCACACTTAGTCTTTTACCAATTATAGAAGACGTTAGTTTGACACAGAACTTCAACGTAACTACGACGTGACAATCCAAGTATTCTTTTACATTTCATTTATTCTTATGTTACTTTCGTTCAAGCAAACGCTCGGCTGCCTCCGTAAACCCCTCTTGCGAAATGTCGGCGTTGACAGAGACAGCCGCCATTTTGGACCCGCTTCAGATTTTTGAATGCTAATATCTAGAGTTTAGATTTATCCACATTCAAACAAATTATATAGTAAGCATTATAAGGAGGGTTTCTATTAACATACCAAAAATAAATGAAAAATACTGAAAAACAAAAAAGTATGAAAATACGAATTTTTAAAATTTGCATCTCGTAACAACCGGAAGTACTGACGACGCACGAGAAGGTGATTCCGCAAACGACAAAGTGACAAACTATCGTCTCCAATAAGTCTCCAGGTCATATCTTTAGCTATTTTTGAGAAAAAGGGGCGACAAAATCGCATTTTAAAATCAGGAAATCGTCCATAACTTGGCACCATAAGCGAATTTTCCAAATTTCTCTTCGGATGTAACAACTTCATATAATGACACACATTTTGTGAAACTTTCATGAAAAACCGCTGAATAGTTTTCGAGAAATCGCCTGCACAAAATTTTGTCAAAAAAAAGAATAATAATAATAAGAATAATAAGAAACAGTAGAATCACTATAAGGTCTTCCGTTGGAAACGGAAGAACGATCTCGTTGCGAGCAACGAGAGGTCTTCCGTCTGATTCCGGAAAAGAAACCAGTAAAATCGACCTGAAAATTGATTTAAAGATCTTTGGATACTCAGATAATTTAAACGGGTCACGAGCAGTAAAATTCAACACGCTATCTATTACGCTATTTGAACCCGTACTCTAAATTTACTTGTGTGTACATATTTGCAATATCTCTCTTAAAATTATGAAAAGGAGAGTTTTAATTCATAATTTTGCGCCAAAAGCCACGAGTAAATCTTGGTACTTTCTCTTGGAATGTTCTATTAAATAGGTGTGATAGCTTCAATTAAGTAAAAAAATAAAATGTTCTTATTACCTAAATTTCGAGGTTTAATTAGAAAGTATACATTCTACACATTAAATATCGTATCTATGTAAGTAACACTGAATCAGTGAAACGACTATGAATTTTTAACTTTTTGTAAATTTCCTGTTTAACCCCAATGTTGACTTTCTCGATCATTTACACTTTTATGAAAGGGTTGGAATGTTTCACCGAAAACATGACTAGGCCTATCACAGTCAATTTATGTTCAATGGCTTGCATCAGATCTGTGAGAAAAATGTGTATATAAACTCAGTTAAACGCTCCTTTAAAAAACACTCTTACCTGTGTCTTTTCTGTTAGTTTAATATGTCACAAGTGTACATGAAAAAAAAAAGGTTATGTTTTATACTCTCTATTTATATTGTTTCATGTAAAAACTTATAAATATGTTTTAAGATGTAATTTCCGTTTTGCACAACAAAAGGTTTTAGATACCGCATTTCATTTGTACATGTAGTCTTTTCTTTTTCTACTTTGATGATTCGCCAAAACCAATTATGGTAGACGTTTGAGAAGACCTTGGATAAACACTTTAGTTTAACAAAGAATTGCACCGTAACTACTACGTGAAAATCAACGTATTCATTTTCATTTCAGTTATCCTTACATATCTTTTTGTTCAAGCAAACGCTCAGCTAACTCTTTAACCCCCTACTCGCAAAATGTCGGACTTGACAGAGACAGCCGCCATTTTGGTACCGCTTCAGATTTTGAAATATTAATATTTAGAGTTTAGACGCATCAATATTCAAACAAATTATATAGTAAGCATCAATAAAAAGGTCTCTATTAACATTCCAAAAATAAATGAAAAATATTAAAAAAAGCAATAAAGTTAGAAAATACGATTTTTTTAATTCGCCTCTGGTAACGACAGGAAGTACTGACGACGAACAAAAGGTCGCGTCCTGGGTAGTATCTATCACGATCTATAATCCCTGAAAGTTTCATGTTGATATCTTTAACCGTTCTTGAGATTATCCGTAGACAAAATGTCATTTTAATTTCAGAAAATGGTCCGTAATTTGGCACCAAAAAGGAATTTCCAAAAAATCGCTCGGATAGATCAAATTCATGTAACAACACATCTTCACTGATAATTTCAAGTAATTCCATCCAGTAGTTTTCGAGAAATCGCGCACACAAAATTAGAAAGTCAAAAAAATAATAATAATAATAATAATAAGAAACAGTAGAATCACTATAAGGTCTTCCGTGAAGACGGAAGACCTTAAATATCCCACCTATTGTAATATAGGGCATACGCTGTACTGCATCCACAGATGAAGAGTAATTGACCCCGACACAGCGTTTTCGTGAATACGACAGCTCTCGAGTATGTCAAATGATCAACGGGTATCTTTTTCTTTATTTTCGAATAACACTTGAATTTACCTTCTTCAACTTCGAATTTTTCTTCTTTGATATCCAAAGGTTTTCTTGTGAATTTCATTAACAATCCAGGGGCGAATCCAGCAATTTTTGAAAGGGGGAGGCTCCATGTCGGTGCCCCCAGCACTCATGCACAGAATCACATCGGCCACGTTAAGTCCGTAGCTACAATCAAAAACAGTTGACAAGGGAAAAACCCTTTGCACCACACTCTTATATCCAGGGGGGGATGTGCTGGGATGCTGCAATCAGACGTCCTTTCTCATAAACACACGCACATCAAATGTTTATTAAAAATACTGACAGAAAGGAGAGATTATCCATGCGGTCACCTGACAAAAACTACATTTTCTATTGGTGTAATTAAAAATCATGCTGAAAATCTGTGACATGACGTTTGATTGGCCATGATACAAGAAAGTTATTGAATATTTATTATGGTGTATCCTGATTTATTTGGACGAAGGGCGGAGACTCGTGCTTCGCACTCGTCACCGCCCTTCGTCCAAATAACTCAGGATACACCATAATAAATATACAGCTCAACAAACTTTTTAAGCTCACATGGTTTTTCA